GAACACTAAGCTGAAGGGACACCCCTAGACTTCAGGGACACCCCTAAAGTCAACCTTCCCTGTTGGGATGGAATTATATAGCGAAGTGGGGAGGGGGCAGGACAACTGGTGATCCTAATCCTACTAGGAACTGGCGAGATTGAACTGGCAGATGGGAGGAGCGTGATTTTAGGCAATCAGAATACTTATCAAAAGTTTGATTTCAACCTCCCTGTTCTGAATTAAGGGTCTGCGTCCACGTGACAGTCACTAACCGACGAAATGGTTCCCAAATTCCCTATCAGGCTTTTTTTTTTTTTTTTTTTCCTGCTACTGGGTAAAAGTGTGCTTTTTTGGTAGCAGGGCCCCGGAGCCGCTGGCAGAGATGGTAGCTTGGTATTTGGAACCAGAGTGACAGTTGGCACAAGAGGAAAATGTGTGTCTCCTCCTCAGCCTTCCTTCGTGGGGCAGTTTTATTTCCAGCCAGATTAGGGTTTAATGACTAGGGAAGGACAGGCTCAAAATCCCGAGGAAGTCGACAGCGAAAAGCGAGGGTTGATGTTTCTTGTGGCATGCCCTAGCTAGGTGCAAGTCTCTGAAGCCCTAGAACTTGCAAGTGTTTTTCGAGACCCGACAAAAAGCTAAGCCAGTCCTCTGTTCTCCTGTTGTCCGGAACAGGAAAGCGAGGCAAAGTCGCGCCGGAGTGGGATGAGGTGTGCTGGGGGTGGGGGTGGGGTGGTCACAGATGCCCAGGACAAACAGCCTGCAACATTCAGGACTGCACTTTTTTTTAATTGTTCACTGACAAGCTGAAGAAGTTTGTTTAGTACTGAATACCCTAGGAACAAAATCCTTTTGAAAAGAGAGCTAAGTCGTTTCACGCCACCAAAGTGCAGATTTGGTCAAGAATGCCTGATGGGACAAAGAGGCGCGGTGCGTTAGCGCGGGTTTCTCAGAGCTCGGCAGCAAATACCCGGGGCGACCAGGAACAGTGGGGCGGGCTACAGGAGACCTGCAAGACCCTCAAACCTCAGCACCCGTGGCACTCCAGTCCTCAGTTCTCTAGGCTGCCCCACTATCAGCCCTGGTCGCTGGTGAGCCGGCGTCCCGCAAGAGAGATAGTGAGGGACCCGGTAGCACCGGAGAGCGAAGGGAAAAGGGGGGAAAAACTCTGACTGCAGGCGCTCAGGGCAAAGCCCGGCTCAACCGTGTTCCTGCAGGCTGAGTACAGTTCACTCTCCGAGTTGGGGCGGCAGGTAGCGTTTTTTTAGCGCTTGGGAAACCTTCAGAAGCTGCTGGGTACGTTCCTTCTACCTCCCATCCGGTTTGGTAAATATTAACAAACTATGGCGCGGTTATTTTCAGGAGTGTGTTTGGTGGGTTGGAGAGAGGTGATGGCTCCGGGGGAGGGTCCTTCTCTCCTTGAGCCTTCTCCTCCCCCCCACAAGCCAGCCCCACCTCTCTCTCTCTCTCTCTCTCTCTCTCTCTCTCTCTCTCCTCTCCTCTTCTCACACACACACACACACACACACACACACACACACACCTGCTTAACAACACAAGGAATCAAAAATCAATATTGTTTTTGTCACCCCTCTGTCTCCTTTTAACTCCCTCAGCAACTCGGGTGCCACTGAAGCGAATTGTGGATTTATGGAGGGAAATTAGCATAAATTATTGCAAAACCTGCAGCCGTGTGTGGTCCAGCTTGTGGGAAAAGAGGCTGTAGCAAACTTTCAGTGGAGAAAGGTGGTGGGCGGTGGGCTTGACAAGGCGCTGAACTGTCCTTGCTGGAGGGGATTTTCATTTGGTTGGCACATGGGGTATAATTGACTTGTGTGTATTTTATACAGTTTTCCCAACAACCCTTTAAGCCCCCAGGTCGGATGTTAACCCCCCTCCCACCTCCACCAGCTTCTGTTGGCTTTGGGTTTTGTACAATAGAGTCTGATGCACTTTTTCAAGATTTCTGGAACGCACCCCTCTTTATAATAGCAGTCGAGATGCCTTAAACAGCTTGCAACTGCTCCTTCCCTCCCTGGGGCTTTGAAGATCTCTGACAGCACCCGAGGTAGAACTTGTAGAAATGCCCATCAGTTAAATGCGCCCCTCAGTTCCTTTCACCTCACAAGGCAAACTTAGGCGATTAACTTCTGTTTACCTGATTAGCCCTGAACACGGGCAATGACACCCAGCTCCTTTCTCGACTGTAGCCAGACTTTGAAAATTCCTCAAACACCAATTCCTACTAGTATTATTGCATGAACTCGACGGTGACAATTTTCCCCAGAAAGATGAACAAAGATTTATTCCAAGTTAGGTTTTTTTTTTCTTGAAGGTTTTTTTCCACTTTTAGAATTTAGTTAATCTTCCACTTGCTCTGAGCAGAGATTTCCACAGCCACACAATGGCCCCTTTTGCAGGACAACAAAATGCCAATTGTTAAAATAAGAAAACATTGTTCGCTCCCATTCCTCACTATTAACACGCACCCTTACGGCATAGGAAAGAATCTTGCTGGTTGTCACTGGGGGAAAGCCACAATCTTTTACCATCTCGAATGCAACCACCATAAACATCTACCTTTGCATTTCAGTATGAACCCACACACATGTTTGCTTTAAAAAAAAATGATCTTTAAAATACTCAGGGACTTCCACGCTGGTACCTTTCCACCCCGGGGCAATCCGGTTTCATTTAAAGCAGCTCTTGTTTTAGTGCCTTCAAAGCCAGCTGTATCTGGAACAAGCAAGACCTGGATCGACCCTTCACTCCTCTTCAAACATCCCTCGGGTTCTCCACCCCTTTGCGCTCCCAGCTCCTCCCACCGCAAGCCCTAGAGCCTAATCCGGGCACGCGCAGAAACACCCCCAAACCTCAGTCCGTTAGAGGCGGTAGCGCGCGCAGCTCAGGCCAGCGGGACTGCCTTGGCCCAACCGGGCCTAGGGTACTGCTGATTTAATCTTCGGCAAAAAGAAATCCATATATCTGCTCTGCTCTAGCCTTGCCCCAAGAGATAGGTCAACGCCCCCACCCCTACCTCCCTGCTCCCACCTCCTCCTCCCGGTTATTTTTTCCGAATTAAGAAGGTGACTTGAGTCTTTCTTTCAAGCACTCTGTTAATATTGAAAAACGTGCGCTTGCATCTAAAGCGCGGCAGCCCAGGCGCCAGAGCCATTTCAATATTAATGAAATTGTTTAATCTCCTAAATTCGTCGTGTTTAAGTTACGTTTTGGTGAGTTATTGACCAGCTTCGAAACTGTGGTTAATGAAGTTATGTGAGTGGGTGGGAGGGTGGTGCGCGCGCGCGCGCGTGCTCGCAAGCTGGAAGGTCTTCTTAAAAATGCTATCCACAGACTGATGCTCTACTGTCACTAAAGTGCAACAAACTTCACACCAGAACTCTCAATCTCCTCCTGGAGGGGAGGGGGAGAAGAAAAGAGGCTTCCATACTTTAAAGACGGTTCTGTGTAGACTGTAGTAGGTATTGAGTAATTAACACGATGGCGTGGGGTTCTTTTTAAACCCCAAAAGGCCAAGGAAAGCGCTGAAAAGCGTGGCAGCTCGTGGCTGGTACTCATTGCGTGCGTGCCGCTGGCCTGACTCACTGTTTATTTCGTAGCAGTTTTGATGATGATGACGACGAAGATGATGATAATGATAATAATGATTCATTTAATCCTCACAAGGCATATTCGAACTCAAAGGAGCCAGCTACCCTCACCAGGCCCAAAGATCGGAGCCACGTTCCCACCTCCACCCAGAAAACTCGCCGGTCCTTCGCAGGTCTCATCCGGCGCTGTTTGTCTTTTCTGGGCGGTCTAAACTCTAACGAAACTATTCCCACGTAAAAGGAGGAAGGAGGAACTATAAAATGCTGACCTACTGACTTCTAGAAACCACCAGGCGTCCCAAGTACCTGGAGAAAGGAAGAGACACCCGCCCCCCCCCCACCCCCGCGATTAGACAAACTCAGGCCCTCCCCAAATCTGCATGCTGCCTGTCTCAATGTCCCCTGGGCCTCCTTGTGCCCATCAAATTGCTAAAAGACTGATAAAGCCAAAACCTAGTACCTCCTCCGTTCTTTTCTTTTCCTTTAAACAAACAAAAAACAAAACTTGCACTTTGGCTTGAAGAGATGACTCTGCCACTAAATGCTAAGCTCACAACCAAATATATATATATATATATATATATATATATATATATATACCCTAACACACACACATATATATATAATATATATACACACACATATATAATATATATTATATATATATACCCTAACACATTCAAAACAGACTCTTCCGCCCAGCTGTCCGAATATTTATGTCGATATGTGTCTATTAACCTTATCACCTTTTTAAAGCGACATGTTTTGAGTGTGCAGCTTTGAGACCAAATCAAACTTCGACCTGCCTCTTGCAGGACTCAGGGGTGGTGGCGGTGGGGCGTATGTTTCCATTCTAAAACCCATCCAACCAATCCCGGGCAGTGCCAAGTAAAGTATAAGGGTCGCCCTTCAAGAGAAAGCCTGTGCTAGAAGTTAGCTAACAATACAAACCCGATACAATGCGGAGGAAACAACACCCCAGCCGAGCAATTTCCATGTCAAACACCGTCGGCGCCGCAGCTAGCTCAGAGCGTTAATGGTCGCCTGGTTCCCGGCTCTGCGGTGCGCCGGTCCGCTCGTACCTTCCCAACGCGCACACCGGCGGGCGCTGCCCGCTCCCCGCGGGCGGCAGAGGCTCTTCCCGGGTCGCCCGGTCTTCTGCTGGAAGTGATTCCTATTGGCCAAGGTGTCCATGTAAATAGGTGTGAAAGAAACCAGCGCTGGCCAGGCTCTCTCCCCTCTTCCTCAGTCCCCTCCCTCTGCAGCCCCCGCTACCCCCCTCCTCTTCCTCCTCCCAAGGCGATTGTCATACGATAGCTAAGAAGTGGCACATTAATGAAGCGCCGCTACAGGGGTCTTTTCTGTTCCTGTCACCGCTTAAAACTATCAGATGTTTCGAGGGTGGACATGGAGGCAGCCACCTAGCTCAGCGGAGCAGCGTACGACACAGCAGCGTCCTCTGGATCCCCGAGGCAGCGGCAGCTGCCACTGTCCGCTCCAGCACTCGGCAGCACAGCTACGTCTCCCCGACAGGACGCACCACCCAGGAGCGCCACGGAGCTCTCCCTGCTGAGCCCAAGCCAGGCTCGCAGCTAATCTCTCCGGTCCCTGACGCTGAGCTCCGCTGGCGCGCAGGAAGGGACTCCGGCACCAGCTGCACTATCCCGGATGCCGAACGGCAACTTGGAACAACTTTAAGGTGAGCATTTATCTATCCGTCCCCTCCCCTGAATCCAGGTTCTACTTACTTTCCCGCAACTCTCGCCCCCACCCAACCCCCGCGGTCCTCCCCTCTCCACATCTGCAGGCTGGGTCCATTCAATTTGGTGAGCAAAGTTGCTGGCACCCGAATCCTGATTACTGCCCCCCCCCATATCTATGACTCGGCCTGAGTGACCTCGCGGGTGTCTCTGCACCCCTGCTGCCCTTCTCCTCCATCACCTTCCCCTTCTCAGATCCGACCATTCCTCCAGTCCGTGCGGACTCTGAGCAAGTGGGCAAGCGAGAAGATGCCTCGGCCGGGCCGCAACACGTACAGCGACCAGAAGCCGCCCTACTCCTACATCTCGCTGACCGCCATGGCCATCCAGAGCTCTCCGGAGAAGATGTTGCCGCTCAGCGAGATCTACAAGTTCATCATGGACCGCTTCCCCTACTACCGGGAGAACACGCAGCGCTGGCAGAACAGCCTGCGCCACAACCTCTCCTTCAACGACTGCTTCATCAAGATCCCGCGGCGGCCGGACCAGCCAGGAAAGGGCAGCTTCTGGGCGCTGCATCCCAGCTGCGGGGACATGTTCGAGAATGGCAGCTTTCTGCGGCGCCGCAAGCGCTTCAAGGTGCTGAAGTCTGACCACCTGGCGCCCAGTAAACCAGCGGACGCCGCACAGTACCTCCAGCAGCAGGCTAAGCTGCGGCTCAGCGCGCTGGCCGCCTCTGGCACGCATCTGCCGCAGATGCCGGCAGCTGCCTACAACCTGGGCGGTGTGGCACAGCCCTCCGGCTTCAAGCATCCCTTCGCCATCGAGAACATCATCGCGAGGGAGTACAAGATGCCTGGGGGACTGGCCTTCTCTGCCATGCAGCCAGTTCCCGCTGCTTACCCGCTCCCCAACCAGTTGACTACTATGGGCAGCTCTCTGGGCACAGGCTGGCCACATGTATATGGTTCCGCGGGTATGATCGACTCGGCCACTCCCATCTCCATGGCGAGTGGCGATTACAGCGCCTATGGAGTGCCGCTGAAGCCTCTGTGCCACGCCGCGGGCCAGACACTGCCCGCCATCCCGGTGCCCATCAAGCCCACGCCGGCCGCAGTGCCCGCGCTGCCCGCGCTACCCGCGCCCATCCCCACCCTGCTCTCGAACTCGCCGCCTTCGCTCAGCCCTACTTCCTCGCAGACAGCCACCAGCCAAAGCAGTCCTGCCACCCCTAGCGAGACACTCACCAGCCCGGCCTCCGCCTTGCACTCGGTAGCGGTGCACTGACCCAAGAGAAGCTGGGGCTCCCTCTCGGTCACCTCTACACTACCCCTCTCACCACTTCTCCGGGTCCAGCCCTCTCCAACCTAGAACCGCTATCCTGACTTGCCCATTCCACCTTCTTTCTTCAATCCTCTCTCCTAGGAGAACTTTTGGTTTTGAACCCAGAAGACAAACCATAAACTTGCCAGAAGGCGCGTGAAAGTTGTCTTCGCCATTCCAGGGCACCAGAGAACATAGAGGCTAACCCAAGCCAAGCGGCCCCTCCAGAGTCCCAGCAGTGCCCCAGCAGTGCATTCCCATCCAATAGGCAGGACACCCTGATTCCCTCCTGCGCGGAGAAAACACAAACAAAATGAAAAAGCGCGTCTTCTGAGCTTGCATCGGCGGGGATGGCGGGGATGTAGACTCCGCGCAATTTCAAGACCAGAGACACTGCTCGAGAGTGAAGCCCGCCAAGGTTGCAGCTGCACAGCAAGGGCCCGATCTTAGCTCCTGAAAATCTGTGGCCACAGACTCACTAATCCTCCGACAGGCTCGCCTCCGCCCTTCAGGCCGGGATGGGCGGAACTCTGCTTCCCCAGGCTGCGGCCCAGCCTCCCGGGCTTCTACGGAAGATTATTTTTCTTTCCTTCTGGGTTTTGTTTCTGGCCAGAGGCTCCCTTAGCTGGGAGTGAGGAGAGAGGCTGCTAAACTAGAGGGGACTCTTGTCCTTCACAAATGCAAAACACAGCTAGAAGTCTCCGTTATTGTTTACAAAGCGTGCGGTTAAAAAAAATGTAAACAGTGAACTTGAGCCTCTGCCTGGCTAGGCGGACGAGGGGGCAGAGTCCTCTTTACAATTACCTGTTGTAATGTGAATGTTTACTCTTCTGGCCAGCTTTGGGTAGGGGCGGAGGGAGGGGGAGAATGGGGAAGTTAATTGGGACGTTAACTTTCTTACTATTTAGAGACCTTTTTAGCTATTTATTTTGATGGGAAAAAAAGAAAGAAAAAGAGAAAAGAAACTTGAACTAAGCCCAAAAAAGAAAGCACCTAGGGCAAGTGGGGAAGAATGTAGATAAATCGACTGGGAACGTGAAGCGGGGGGTGGATGTCAACAGAGACGTCCCCTGGACAGATCTTTCTGTTAGAAGAACTTCTCCGTGAAGCTAAAGGGCTGCAAAGAGTTGTAAATAGGAATGATTTACACTGTGTAAAATGCACTTTGGTTTGGTATGTTCCTTTTAGCGTCTTAGGTAATTGACTGAAACAAACAAAAACAAACAGACAAAGAACAACCCGACAGTTGTTCTGGTGTGACCTGCTTAATTTAAAAAAGAAACTGTAGTGTCGTCCAAGCTGTGAAAAAAAAAATTCTTCTTTTTATTTTTCTTCCTCCCTGCACAGGATTCGCATGGCATTTTAAATATTGATGTCCTTGTTCCCAGCATGCCCATTTAAGACAGAGTTTTAAAAAGGTGTCTACATTAAATTATGACCTAGTCTAAATAATATTTTCTCATTAAAATATGTAAATTCAAATTTTGTTAAGTTGTGCGTATTTTTGAAGACTTGCAAACACATTGTCTGGGCGGGGGTTGCCATTTTTAAATCATGCTGTGCAAACAGAGAAACTTCATTCGCCTTTGCAGGTGTGGGGGGAATTATCCTAGGGGGGACCATGGAAGACTTTTGTGCACAGGGGGGAGGGGGAGGCCAAGTATTTCAGATGCAAACCCTGGGCACAGGTGCAGCGCTGAAGGAAGCACTGAACACCTGCGATACTTCCTGTGTCTTAAGCGTGCACTTGCATCTACAGAAGACCGGTGCAAGTTTACAAAGTACTCCCAGGCTGGGTTTCTCAGTCCTTGACCTGACGCCTTCCTCTAGGCCTTTAACACACTGCCCTGTCGTGGTTGACATTTCTTTTCTCTCAGAAATCACTGAAGGTTCCCCTTCCAGGTCAAGAAACCTGTCTACCTTGCACTGAGTAGATTTCTTCCAGTCCTTCCGGTGAGAATGGGGGAAAGTAACTAGAGGCATTTATTTTCAGGTTGTGAATGAAGTGTCTTTAAATGCCTGCCTCTAACTATTTGCTTTCATTCGTTTTGTGATTTTTTTCCTCAAAGAATTAAAACGTAGCAAGAATTTATGGTTCAAAGCTAATTGACACTTGGTTTGAAGGGGGTCACAATATTTTCAGAGTAAGATGTGTATTCAACTGAAGAAGTTACAAGACAAAGAGAAACTTAAATGGTGATTAACACTTCACTGTGTAAATGATTAAACAGGGGAGCCTTGTGAAACCCAGAGAAGGCCCCCAAAGACACATAGACACCATGCTGAAGCCCTCCATAAGGAGACCCTTTAACACCTGGCACCGCGCAATTAGTAGGCTATCTGGAAAAAGAGCTAGGATTAATGCAAAGCAGAATTAATCCTGTTGTGGCTATACTATTTTTAAAAGGGATCCACACACAGCACACACACACAAACACACACACACACACACACACACACACAAAGTAGAAAATAAATGAATCACTGAGCTGATTAAAATGCATGAAGCTTCTAAAGCCAGTCAGACAGCGGACAACTAAACTCATTCATCAAACCTAATTCACAATTATATCAACAAGATCAGCCAAAGCAAGCCTGGAAAATGTGGCTACCCTTGGTTAGGAAACTTAGTTCCCCATAAGAAATTATTTATAAAAAAGAAAGCTAAATACATTTTCAGTGTCCTGAAAAAAATGAAATCAAGACAGCTTCTGGAAGAATCTGATCTCATCCAGTTTCTTAGCCACTGGAGGCTGGAACTGAGGCAAAGAAAGGGCTCACGTGGGCCTCTGACATCCAAGAGACTCAGCCAGGTAGACTGAGTCTTGTAGGTGAGTGGCATGTGCACACTTATATCCATTATACATGGAGGCAGTGAAGTACAGACCTTGTCTCTGCAAACGAGAGATTTTTGAGTTCAGTGTCTGAAAATGCACTTTCAGCAACTAAGTTTGTAATGGTGTCCTGAGAGGAATGAAATAACTTGACCATTAAGAAGCCTTTCGGGTTGCAGGCATTTCCCCTCCTCAGTCAAAGCTGAATGAGGAAAGGGAGGAACACAACAACGTCGATGACATTGTGATTTTGACCAGAAATTTAGCGACTACTCAAACAGACCTGCCTTACCCAGCCAGGTTCACACCAGCTTGGAAACTTGTGTGGATTTAGCTGAAGTTCCTCACATACAAGGAACTTGGTAACTGATGGCTTCCGTGGTTCTCTCTGTCATGTGAGATACTCTCTTGGCTAGCATCCAAAGTCAAGACCCAGAGCTTTAAAATCGAGTTGGGTGGGACAGCACCCAGCCTGCAAGGGGAAGGTGGAAAGGTGGCAGGTGGCGTGCGTGCAGTCCTAATCTAAAAGAAGCTGTATTCTTTTCCAGCTTTGCAATTCCAAGATGATTTCCTCACGTTGCTTTCCTCTTTGGAAACTTAGTTGTTTTCTTTCTTTCGAAACTTAGTTATTTTGTTTCTTTGAGGCTCTTCCAGGTCTTGTATTTAACTATATTTTTAAACAGCTTTCTCCGTGTTTTTAGCAGTGTTTATACAAAAGATGGATTTCTCCCACTTCCTCCCAAAGGAAGCTGCGGGAGTTTCTCGCTGGGGAGTTTCTCACTGACTGGGGGCTTTAGGAAGTTGAAGACTGGAAGGAACCCTAAGACATGGTCCCCAGTGACTTAAATATTAAACCAATGACCTTCATTTCTTCCAATAGTTAAGAATGCTCAGAGTCTTAGAAGCAGGGCATAGGTTCAGAGCTCTGGAGGGTGGGAGCGAGGAAGCTTCCATGTAGGAGTTCTGACCGCTAGGTTTCACACTGTCTCACTCAGTTGTGGCCTCAGTGCAGGACTGCGGGGCTGAGGCCTGGGTCAGACTTTTACAAATGGGAACTCCCTTTGTCAGGCGCATTCAGCTGAGAGTCAGAATAGAGTGGGATCCCTTCCTAAATTCTTAATATAAGTGCCAATTAATATCTTTTTCTTATAAAAGCCAAGCAAGGGCAGAGACACCCAAACAAAAACAAAACCAAAACAGCCCAACCCACCGGCTGCGAAGCCTCAAAGGGAATGCATTTGTTTCGTCTAAACTAACAACAAATTATCTAATTAATATGTTTCAATTACAGTGTGAAAGGGACAGCCCCAGGACCTCCCGCCGTGGGGGCACAATAGCCCCAGAGCCCACTGCAGGAATTTACAATAACTGCACATCTGTCTCTTTATTTTCCACTTTTTGAGTCTAAAACTCCTCTCCAGATCACTTCAAACCACGGCTTGAATTATGAAATATGTCCCAGTGTTAAAGGGAGATGAAACTTTGCCCATGGATGCTTCATTTGCAAGCCAAAAAAAAAAGTGAAAGCCCATTGAAGGGCATTAAACAAATATATTAGAATTCTGTCACTTTATGCAATTGAGTAGATCAAATGAAGGGTCCCGGCCACTTCATTCACTCTCATTCACTCGAATAGAAAATGCAAAGAATAGCAACCGAGACTGGGCCACCGCTGTAGACTTAGCTCCTTTTACTGGGAGACAAAAAGGCTGAATTTTCACAAATACATTGCTGACTTGGGGACTAGGAAACGGGGCCTGGAACCCCTTTGGAATTTAAATTCATTTTATCTTCCTCTCTCCTTGCAGGGATCTGTTTGCACTACAGTGTAGAGATGCAGGAGGCATCTTGGGGCTTCTGAAAAAAAGTGGGGGAGGGGAAGAGAGAGAGTGGGGGGAGGGCAATGTGGATTCCCAGGGAACTAACTCTTGGCTATCAATTAACACTCAGGGCTGAGATAATAAGTTTGCGTTCAGCAAATCTTTGTCTACATCAGTATAAACACCACAACATCACACGCATCTCCAGGCTGGGTTATACAAACAGTTTGTTTTCAGACACCAGAGCCTCACATGTGAGCCCCCAAGTTTGCTCCGTTCAATGAATAACTGCTCCTTGCTGTCAGGGAGGCTAGGGCAGAGCTTCCCTGCTCCCCCCTCCTCCCTTTTCCCTCTCCTCCTCCCCCTCCCTGCTGGCTACCCAATTTGCTCATGGTGGTGATTAGCTATACCATGCTAAAAATCTAGAGAGAAGATATTAAGCCTTGGGTAGAATTTCCAGGCCAGGATTCATTTTGATCCTGGCATCGAATGGACTCTTTAGGGTAGCCAAAGAAATCTTGCAGAGTTGCTTCTGTCCTGTGACTGATTCCCAAGGCTGGCGGTTTTGTTTTGGTGAACTCCACATACCCACATACCTCCACATTATACAGGGCTTCCAATAAGTATAAGATCTCCTCCCACAGATGGAACTAGAAAAAGACATAGGAACCCTGGCAGCTTCCTCCACATACCCAAAAAGACAAGAGCCAATTTTTGTCAAATTGCATTATGAAATCCCATCTTCAGGATTTTCTGTGTTATCTTGATTTTTTAAAATTATTTTGTGCGTATTAATTCATACCACTTCAATACCCAGAAGTTAGGGATGGTTGTGAGCCACAATGTGGGTGCTGAGAATTGAACCCAGGCCTGCTGCAAGAGCAACAAGTGCTCAACACTAAGATATTTCTCCGATTCCTATCTCCAGATACACTGGGACTTCTCAAGATTTCCCACTTTAGCTTATAAGGCTGTATTTTAACTATATTACTTTAATTTGGGGAATTTGAGACTGGGGATAGGAATAGAAGGTGAGGAGGGGAAACAGCTTAGACCTATAGATACAAAAACGGTGTTGAAATTATTGTTTTGTTTTTACAACCAGAAGCTATTCAAGGCAAAAAAAAATACTAATAATATAAACATCAGAAATAGCCATGAAAAATCGGATTGGTCTGAATGAAATCTTCC